CAGAAGCAAGCTGATAGCGGCAAATGATAAATTTACAAATTTGAGATACGATAAACAAGTTTTAAAAAGCCCAAAAAAAATCAGAATCTCACGCCATATTCACTCGCTAATAGAGGCACAGCAGTAAGTATTCCGAGGGTAACAAATGCCAACAGCAACCATTGGCTGACGAGGCTGTCAGCAGGTTTTTCAATACTCTCCAAAAAAATGCGAAAATCAATTACGATCTCAAGAAGAATGCAGAAGGGAGGCAGTTTTAAACTGCGCTTACCGACTTATTGAGGGAAATCAAATGAACAGTTGTTCAATTCGAAATCGTGCGCTAAGAGGGTGAAGAAGCTTCTTACTGATACAGTGCCGCAAGGACGGCCGATAGCATACCCACTCCGAATAACGCATAAGCAGCAAATGAACTCAGTTGTAACCTAGTGGCTTACCAGTAGACGGTAAGATAATGAGCTGAAGCGAATAAAATCAACTGAGTGAACAGTACTAGTTTCTTAGAGAAGTCATAAGTTAAATGCAGTAGTGAATGAAACCACATGTGGTCAAAGAAGGTTGAAGGGCATCAAGCTGTAATAGGTCGATGGGATAGAAATGAAGATAGACTGACCGGGGCTGGACAATCCACTATTTGAGGGTACTCGATACTTGGTTTGAGGATACCGCCTCAATAACATCGGTAGCATCAATGGACTGTCAAAGCTGTCACTTTTATATGTAAAAATGCCAAATAATTTTTAGAATAACTGTAGAGAATGTAGTTGCAATTAAAGCAAAATCACGAACTTACTTGCAGCTGTTGGAACTACCTGCGTGGAACTAAACAAACATTCCAGAGGACCCGAAATATTAACACATGTAGGCTGACCAGGTAAGATATACTAAGTGGATCATGATCATGCAGCTTAGGATCGAAAAAACCCGGCGTACCGCTCTACCTATGTAAATTCATGTGATCTAAAACCCAGGCTGGAACGCACCGGGCTGGCCGTGCGATCATGCGTTTCTGAGCCAGACCTGAAGTACTCAGGTCATTAACTGCATGAATGGTTGTTGCTTTACACCTATCTTTTGCGGTCACAAGCATAAATTACCACAAATCTTGCATAAAACAGATGTACAACTTTCATTTAACGGTCGTTCTTTAAAAGTAACCTAGCTGTTCAGTGAGAAATTTTTCCGCTAAAACTGTCAACTGCCCGTACGTAAAAACCACGCATAACTCAAGACTGAATCCGAAATACTTACGTTGCACTTGAACTGAGAACATTCCCCTAAAATTTCAGCTTCCTAGCTTTTCTGGCTCCTGAGTTAGTAATTTTCCAGCAGAAAATTTTATAAGCCCTTACATGAGTACCACGCGTAGCTTGGGGCTGAATTTGAAATATTTGAGTTGCATCTGGATAGGGTATACTCCCTCAAAATTTCAGCTTTCCAGCTTCCCTGGTGCCCGAGTTAGCAATTTTCCCGCTAAAACCTTCATACGCTCTTATGTGGGTACCACGTACCTGGGGGCTGAATTTAAATTCTTTAGCAAGTAGCTGCACAGGGAATATCCCTACAAAATTTCGGTCCCTTAGCTTGTGTGGTCCGCGAGATCGCTTTCCAGCAAAAAAATTTCCATATTTTTTAAAGCGTCCGTACGCAGCACCCAGGTGGGGAGATAAAATCATTGGCGACGCGCACGGCGGGGGGGCGTGCGATCATGCGTTTTTGCAGTGTTACGTACTGTAATAAGACTACTCGAAATTCCACTAACTAGAAATCTCTTGTACATACCGGTCCTCGAATTTCAGGAACTTAATTATTCAAGCTATAGTAGGACAGGGAACATTTCCTTGAATTCCCATGTTCCTAGCTTTCACAGTTCCCGAATTACCAAAATTGCAGCTAAAAAATTTCACGGGGCCGTGCGTAGCCACCACGCTCAACAAAGGCTGAATTTGATAAATTCAAGTTGTAGATAAGTTGAGAACATTTCCTGAAAGTTTCAGCCTCCCCAGCTTCCCTAGTTTTGGAGTAATTCATTTTCCCGCCAAAAATTATCACGGCGCCGTATGTGGCAGGCACGCACTTTGGGGGCTGAATTTGATAAATTGAAATTGTAGATGAGTTGGGCCAATTCCTGAAAGTTTCAGGCTCTCAGCTCCTCTGGTTCCGGAGTTATTCATTTTCCCGCCAAAAATTTTCACGGGGCCGTACGTGGCAACCATGCAT